TCTTGGAGTTCCATCAAGCTTGTAAATTTATGAATTTGCAGAAGCTGATGGGACAACTTGGAAATAAAAACAAGGTTGGGGAATCCTCCATTTGGGTGTCTGAAGCAGAACATATCCCGTAAAAATAGAAGAACATATAAGAAAGGCAAGGAGAAGCTTTTGTGTACAGGGATTAGAGGAGAGAGAAGATGGGAGGGACAAGAACACCAGGGTTTCAGTTACTTCTAATACTACCGCCCCAACCTAGATACAGGAAGGAAAGAATAAGAAAGAACAAAGCCAAGACCAACTGTTAAAAATTATTTAATAGAAAGTCCAATGTCAAAATGTAACAATAAACAAAAGTACACATGTATAAATATGTATATATAATTAGACCTATACACTTTCTCAGACCCTTTTCAACATGGAACAGAATCATCATAGCATCTTGGTGGTCAAATCAAAAATAATACTCAAGCCACACGGTCCGCTGATGTCACAGGGATCAGTACTTTGAGGGTTCAAAGAATTCCACTCAGGAGAGAAGGGATTGCCAATGTCTTTTTCTAGAGAAACAAAGAGGGAAGGTGAACAATCTACAGCTCTGTACAGTGTACCTGACCTGATCATTGCAGCTGTAGCCACTTCTGTCTGTCTAGGGACAGCTCTCCTGCTAGGATTCTGAATTATTTAAAGTTAAGTTGTTTGTGAGTTTGCTTGTTTTCCACACTCAAAGCTCCTGGGGATTTTGCCTTAATGACTTTTTTTTCCACAGGCTGAGTGACACACAGTGGTTTGGTATGCCATCAAGTTGTGCTGGTTTGCACTAAAGCAGTGGTGCTCAAAGTGGATGTGCAAGATACCAGGAGGCTCCCAAGGTTACTCTCAGGAATTCAGAGAGAAAATACTAGAAACTTTATGTTTTCTATCTTACTCATTTAAAATATATGTGCTGTGTATTTTTTATAATGTGCCTTGATTACTATAAGAGTAAGTGGATATTTGCTTTAAACAAATTAACAAACATACAGGAAGGGTGTATCTCACAGAGGTCTCGTGGATAGCCAAGGGAGATGGAAACAGATGGATCCCATGCTTTACAGAGTCCACATGTGGGGAGAGCGGTCAGGGAGGCTGTCCCTCTGGTCTCCCAGGCCCACCTGAGGACATCCCCACAGGTGCTCAGAAGACTAAGGCCCCAAGATATTTGTCAGACCTGACTGCAAGAATGCCTCATGATCCTGCTGCTGGATTTTCCACTAATGTGAGGCCACAATCCTACATAAAACACAAGTGCCCACGGGAAGAGCAAGTATGCAGCCACTGACAAGGCAAGGAAGCAATTTGATCCTTTTTTGGCAATGAGATGGAGGTGAGTGGGAAACAGGTAAGGACAGAAGATGGGGAAAGGTTACCCTAATTTCAAAATCAGTTAGCCTGGGGCCAAATATTCTGTTGGTTTCCGGCCCTGGGATTCCCTCAGGCCAAATTCTAATCCACATGTTTAGGCTGAGACATGTGGAATTACTCACGTAGGAACCACAAGACACAGAATTGAAACGCTTCAGTGAAGAGCCAGGAGACTAGCTCTTCCATTGCCAGCTAGTATTTTGATGAATTAAATTCTTCTTTCTACCTGAAATATTTCTATTTCTTTTTGTAGGAAAAAAAAAATCCAAAAAACAAAAAAAAGAAAAGTCCAATTCTCTGAAGTCTGACTAGGCTCCTTGTAAAAGTCTAAGGCCCTGCAGATCGCTTCCATAGAAGGACTCTACTTCTCTGAGCTTCCCTGACAAATGCCAGAAGAGCTCCTAGCTTCGCCAGTGCCCACCAGCTACTCAGCAACTGTCTAGGCTTATGGGCATTTTCTATTTGCATATAATTCATCTGTGCCCTTTTGAAAAAATATCCCTTTGGCAGGACTCAGGTGTGCACTTGTGACTCAGCAGAGGCTCGGCCACCAGGTGTGACCTAACTCAGGGCAGATGCCTTTGGTTAAACAGGGAAGCCCTTTTCTGCTGCTTCCCATATATCTATTTTAGGGTGCGCTCTCATTTCTGGGTCTAGGCCGGCATGATCCCAAGAATATTTTTGGCTATCATGTCTGTAAAGATAGGTCAGGATGACCCAGCCATGACTGCTTACAGCCCCAAACGAGATCCAGCCCAGGCTAAAGCCCTTGAACTCACATAGCTTTTGGAGTCAGGAAGAGGAGTTGGGGTGGGAATAGACGATGTGTGGGAGTAAGTCTCAGCATTTCCACAGAGAGGAGGGCAATCCCACCTGACAGTGGCTACACGTCACTCTCTTGGGGATTTATGCTGTGGGCTGCAGAGGGCTGAGGAGCATTTTACTCCCTGAATCCTTAGTAAAGCCCAGGAGCCCTGTTGGCTCTGGCTCACCGGTTGCTTTTCCTTTCCAAGCTTTGACCCCTTCATTGCATGTAAGCCTGGATGGCCCGTTACATTCATGCTGAGTTCTGTGCTATCTTCTTAGCCTGGATGTCCCTTTGCAATGCTCTTCCTCAGTCCCCAGACAAATAATGGACTTGGAAGTCACAGTTTTCACAAAGCCTCCTTCCCAAATCTGGGCTGGCTGCCGCTGTGACATGTTCCACACTCCACACCCTGCATGACCCTTCTAGGCTGTCTCCCCCTTGGGTAGGTTGCTTGAGGGTGGGCTGTGTTTGGTTCAACTGCGTATTGCTGGCAATTGGCCCAGGGCCTGGAGTGTACCAGGTGTCCACAAATAATCTGTTGAATGCATGACTCCTCAGGACTGAGAAGGGCAATGCTAAAAATGCCACCCCTGGGATGACCTAAATGAAAGGGCCCCAGCTCCACACATTGGTGTCAGAGTGAAGCAGTGAAGCTGCTGAAATGCCAGCCAAGGTCACATGTATGAGAGGGAGAGTGCGTGAGCAACTCTCCCTGGCTGGACCTGGCATGCCTCGTTAAGGAAGTGTCCTTTATGCACCATGGGCTGGTAGACGACATGAGCCACAACACCCAGCCAGAGGCCAAAGGAGTCAAACAGATGTGAACATCTGGCACAGAAGGGGCACAAGGGAGGATCACCAACTGACCTCCCTACTGTCACTGGAGTCTAACTCAAAAGTTTTGCAAGAGTGATCACTAGTATTTTCCTGTTTTGGTATTATTACAGCTACACTGATATTTTCCTAGACAGACCTTATCACAGAGATTACAGAAGGCAATATAGCTCTTTCTTGAAGTCTGTTGATGATAAAGTTTATTTTCTTTACCCATGAGTAGTTGTTGTTGTTGTGTGTGTTTAGAAAGTGGATCCAAAGTTAAAGTCCTAATAAGGCAGCTGTCTGGTTCTGCTCCAGGAAAACAGATAGTAATTTTTATGAAGTTGCATCTTGCTTTGAATGGAAAAGTTGGCTTGAAATCTTTTGCAAAACTTCTCTTGCTCTCCCGCCTGTTGAGAGAGACCATTCCCTTAACAGTGAGGAGTCCAGGTCCCTGCTTCCACCCACCTTCTTATTGTGCCTTTGAATTCAGGATCTGGACTGAAATAGCGGGACACCAAGGGCTCTTCTCTTCTGCCTGGGTCTTGGCTAAGTGGCTTAAAGTTCCAAAGCTATTTTCAATCCTAGGGGAACCTAAGGCAGTTCTAAGTTCATAGTGTTCTTTTTACTCTAGATCTAAATCAACTTCAAAGTCTTGGTCTAAACATAACCCCTGGGAAGGAAAGAAGAGTGAATTCGGAGTAGAAAGACAATGTCAGGATGGGGCCTTCAGCTTAAGAGGGGAATCTTCCTGAATCAAAGCAACTTCTCTGGCTTTCCAAAAATAAGAACAATTTCTCACATTATCTTAAAGCACCTGCTAGGTTAGAAGTAATCAGGACCTTGAGATCAGATTTCACAGGAAAGCTGGACATGGCACCCCTTTTTCTCAAGGAAATTCTTTTCATTCTTCCAAGCTGAGTGAATGAGGTGGACAGGGGTCCCCTTTAGGCAGCACCTTTAATAGTTGCTATGGAGATGTCATCTTTTCTCACTATGTGCCTCAAGAGGCAAAGGGAGGAACTGTGAGGAGTTCCTGGGCTCTTCCAACCTTGGAAGATGTTATTTCAGTGTTTATCTGTCACTACATGGCTATCCAAAGACAATGAAGGTCTTGAGATTCAACTCTAGTTTTGTTGCTCTAGTTTGGAAAATACCCCTCGTCCAACAGTCAAAAAGACATCCAATCCAAGTCCATAAGAAAGGATTTCAGTACAGATCAGAGGTCCAGATATCGTTTTTCCTCCACTGTGGGATATGAGTTCTCCTAAACCTCTCTGAAAGGTTGAGGCTTTGAACCTTAAAATGATGTAGCCTGTGATGATACAGCCAGGTCCTTGAGGACCTGGGGAAGAAATCACAGTACATAAAAGCCTGTTCTGCTTGGATCTGGTATCGTACTGCAGAAGTACCAGGTGACTTCCCCAGATGCTGAAAGGATCCAGAGGTGGGGGTGATAGGTGCCTAAATTCCCAAAGCCTCTTCCCTCTGTGCACCAAGGTCCTCCCTGGTCCCAGCCAGTGGCCACTTCTGGTTTGTGTGCCACTTGTCAAATGCAGGGAAGCCAAATAAAATACTCCATGTATGAGGAACCAAAGAGAGAATCTGCAAGATGGATGCCCCCAAAGGTGGTTTTCACAGTGTTGCAAGGGGCACCGTAAAAACAAAACAAAAAATGGAAAATAATCAAATGACGTCTTTCCTTCTTTTCACATGGGCATGCTCATTGAATAGATGCATTCAACATTTTAGATACCTTACTTGGAACCCAGGGGTAAAAGACTCACTTCATAGGACCATTGTGAAGACTCTGCAGACAATTCTCAAATGCCTAGCAAAGAATCTGGCATAGAGTAGGTATAGATAATAAACATTAGTTGCTCTTCCCTCCAGGATTAGATCACATCTCAACTAAGGTATGAGAATCTCCTGAAAACTCACTAGTGAGTCCCAAGGTTTCCATAAGTCTCATTTTGTATCATAGTTTTTTTTTTTTTTTTTCCAGAGATATACCAAAAGGTGACTGCTGAAGTCAAGGCCATTTTTCCCTCTTGGAAGAATGCATCCATTTATTGGCAAAAGGCAGTTCACAGAGCTCATTCATGAAATTCCAAAAGGCTTATTCTGGGGCATTTGCTGCCTCATCCAGCTTCACAGAGGCACACTATGGTCCAGAAATCCACCCTTAAGCTTCCAGCCACCTTCTTACTATGCCTTTGAATACAGATTCCCACCGACCAACCATGCCTTATTTTTTGATTGGGGTTTTAAGCAATTTAACAAAAAGATCAATTTCTAACAGGTACAAAGGAATAAAGCTCTGAGAATGCCTTCTGGAGAAAAAGCACGAAAGGCAGATTTTTATGTAAAATTATAGAGTTCACTCTAATACCCCCACCCTCTTTTTTTCTTTCTTGAGGCATGTTTGAAGGACAGAGAAAGAATCCTAGAAACCAATTGGTTTGTATTTTATGAAGAAAATATCAGAGTCCTGGTGTCTAAGACTCTTATATTTTTTGGGATAAGAAATTTGATATTTTTTTCTTCCTACAAAACCTACATATTTTACCAAGTGTCTTTTCTTAAGACTAGGAGAGATGGAACACTCTTAAATTCTTGTCCAATATCTAAGCAGGAATTCAAATCAATATTCCAAACTGCATCCCGGGCTACTGAGGTAAAATTTGTAAGAGGTATGATTTCTGTTTTTATCAGGCTTATGGGAGAGTCCTGCCCTAATAGAAAAAAAGTGGCGATGAGGTTGGGAGGAGGACAAAGTTACAACTCAACATTGGGTGACATTCCCTGGGACCAAGAAGTGGGTTCCATCACCTGAGGACCTGCTGCTGGGTCTGTCATCTTGCTGGCATGTCTGCCTCTGGTACCCGGGTGTGCCTGTGATACATAGAGGTGTTTTTCTCACCTTATAACAGAGCAAGGACAGGGGAGCTCCAGTCTCAGATACCAGGCACTGCAGACAGGAGAGACCTGCTGCCCAGCAGGCTGCTGCTGCTTCTGAGGGCTGACCTAGTTTTCTGTCTCTAGACTTCGTACCCTCTTTCAGGTCCCTAAATAGACCATAGCACCTCTCTAGGCTCTTGCTTCAGTCTGGGGTGAGGAGGCATCATGGAGGTAAAAGCCTCTTTTAAGGCTGTCTGCCAGTAACAAACACATATTCAGTTATGAGAGCAGTACTCCATAGTCCTGAATATCTGCCAACCAAAAGAAAGCTGTGCACAGATTGCCGAATTTTTCTAACTCTACAACTTAGACTAGATGAGTGTGTAAATCTTGCTGGCAGTCCTAACCCACCCACTGGCCAGTAGACAGTGGGATTTCCTTTGCCCCAGCACACAACACTCTGCTAAATGCTTTCTTGTCATTTTTCTTCCTCCATCCACCTGGCCACTTCTGTCCCTCCCTGCTTTCAATTCCCGATTCCTACAGAGACTACTAGCAGAATGTACCAGCTCATCCATGGGATGGTTCTTTTCATTGTATCTCAGCCGATCTGCTGAATGTTTGGATAAACAGGGGGATAAAGGCAAGATATTTTTGTTTTAGATCCTTTCAGAAGGCATAAAAAAAATAAAGTACAAACACAAATCACTTGACGACTTTATGATTAAAACCAACAAATGGAAAACAGACAGTTTTGAGTGTCGCTAACATAATCAAGTATTTCATGCCAACCCACTCAAGCACCCTACTTCTTAGACCTATTTCTAGAGGCACCACATGTGTCTGAAGATGTCATCACTGTTGCACAGCAAAGATGCATCCAGTGTGACACACAGGAGACAGAACTCCAAGTGAGAAGCTGCTGGTTCATGGGAACGACACTTACAGTTTTATTAAACACTCAAGTCAGGTTCCCAAGAAATGCTTGGTTCTGTGTACACGTGCAACATGTCAGAATGTTAAGCGTGGCTTTGAGGAAAACCATATGAGTGTGTTTCATCTTCGGGTAGAGGGTGATGATTTTCTGGGAAGACACTGTACTGTGAGACAACAAGTCAAATGGAAGACGTTTAACATTTGCTTCATTCTTGCTTGATAAGAACACAAGATGGGGAAAAGGTCATTCACGTCACAGTGAACAAAGTCCCCAGTGAACAAATTTGAGGTGGGGCTTTGCAGTTCGTTTACACTTGAGGAAAACTATTTTCCTCACTTGGCTAAAAACTCTACAAGGGGAGGGAACTTAAAACCCTAGACTACTTGCCTCTCCCTGCATTTTTCTGCTTGAAGTAGGATGAAAAGCCTTAGATTTTGGCTGCATCTGTATTTATGTAACAACCGGCTGCTCCCCAAAATAGCTGTTGCTGGCTGCAAGAATTAAGGGATTTTGTTGTTAACATTTGAGTTCATTTTCTATAGCACTTGACTGAGTTTTTGATTCCTCTCACTTTGGCTGCCCCAGGTCAGAATGGAGGTAAGGAATGTCACCATTAGCACATCAATGGTGTCATCAATTTTGTGGATGGATTTGAAAGTCAAGGCTATTCTCAGCAAGTACAAATTTAGCTCCTTATTCTGTTTTATGGCAGGCAAACTTTTGACAATTCAGAGCTACCCACCTTCACACTATTCACCTTGAAAGGTGACAGTGTGACTGATATTAAATAGAACCTGAAACTCACAGCTCCAAAAGAAAGAAACACACAGTGCTTCTTCTGCAGTTTTTTTTTTTCTTTTTTTGTGGGAGAAACCCAACCCTGGACCGCTAACTTAGCATTTAATAGGGCCCCCTCCCCCGAAAGTAACAAAGAGAACCCTCATCAAAGCTATCAAACATATTAAAAAAATACAAAAGTTATTTTCTCCTTTTGATTGCTATTTACTTGTCACAATATTTGTTAAAAATATTACTTTAGTCTTTGAGAAGAGATCATTCTCTTCATACAGTATGGAAAAATAAACTCTACTGAACATACAGTCAACATTCCCCACCATTGCTGGGGGCTTTCGCATCTCCAAACACCATCACCAGTGTAAATGTTCTATGTTTTTGAGTAAGCAAACATTTTTCACCGTTCGATCCAGGGCTAGAAGTAAGAAGGGAAGGAGGTGGCAAGGCTCACGTAGTTTTGTAAAGGGGAAAAATTACAAAGTAGGATGTTTTTATTTGCTAACAAAGAGAAAGGTAAGAGATAGGGTGGTTTCAGGCCCTCCTAAAAAGCCATGGAGTGTCCCCTCATTTCCTCTGACCACTCACAGCCCTTCTAAACTTTGCTTTGACTGTTAACGGAGCATAGGGAACCACTTAGGCCAAAGATCAGTGTCACCGTGAAGGAGGGATCAACTTTCCACACCTGGGATCATCTTTAAAAACACTGAGCTGGATGAATGGGAGAAGACAAAGATACATAAAAACAGTAAAATGTTTATTTCTTAGAAAAAAAAAAGTGAGGCAGAGGGATTCAAACTGATTGTGATCACACTTCCATCTGCGTCTGAGCAAAGCCAATCAATCTTGCAAGCATCACTCTCGATTTAAACGCCTATTAAATGGCACAATCTGCTGCTTGCTCCCATGTCACTTCCAGGAATCAGGTCACAACATGCTTTTTATATTGATAATAGCATCCCTACTTCTTCTGAGCAGAGAAACAAGGCTTGCCATAGCAACCATCCCATTTCCAAAGCTCAACATTGCCAGTGAGAAGCAAGGCTCAGGCCGTCTTGGGAGAGAAGGGGAGTAAAGAGTGGGAAGGAGATGCTTGACTTAGAAGCAGAACTGGTCTAGAATAGAAGTTGGATATCTGAGTTCACCACTACCTCATCTTATAGAAAATAGGTTGGAGAGCATCTGTAAAACCAATAGTATCTTTAGGGTGAAATTGCAGAATTTTGCTGCATATCTGGACACAAGAAAAGTGAAAAGTTGCAACAAGTTTTAACTAGCAGCAACAAAGAAAGTTCAATAACAGTTTTTGTTTGTTTTTTAGTTTTTTTGTTTTAGCAATATTCCTTTGCAAGTTCATTAAGAAACACTGTAATTTAATGGGGAATACGTATGGTATCTTCTTTTGCTATAGTGCTGTTTCTTGAAGAGAACCGACCTTTGCAAAGATTTCAACTGGGGTGTAACCTATTTACACAGTAGTAGTTCCTGGTCTGAGAGGGGGAGTTGGTGCTATGTGATATCCTCTTCTTCCGAACAGTAATCCCGACCCTTGAAGGAAAAAAAAGAAAAAGAACATGAGAGTGAGACATTCAAACAAGAGCCTGAAATAGTTACTAGTGGTCAATTTTCTTTCAGCCTGTGTCCTTGTAACAGAATCTAGGCTTTATCAGGAACTACTGGGCACAAAGTTAATGCATCAGAAATAAACGTTGGCTGATTTTTAAGCTATATATGTATCTCAAGGCAAACAAGATTTACCAACCCCCAAGGAAGCCCTGCTTTATTTTGATAAGAATTTTTATCAGCTTGTTTTACAGGAATGTAGAAGACTCAGCTTGCACCAAAAAACCCACCAGATGGGCGATCCATTCAGGAAACCGATTTCTCACCAGGAAGCACAAGCAAGTCACTTCGTACTGCTCATGCTTCACAACTCCCTTTCCTTGTTTGGAACTTAAAATTTCAGAGGGAGGTTGCGCAATCCATGGATGTTTTAATTTTAATACACTCTGAAACCATTGTATAAAACAGCAAAGAAGGATCTGTTGAACATGTGTGACATATCCAGTCTATGTGGATGCTCTGGAAAGGCGAGGATGCTTTAATGTGCTTGCTAACAAGGCATGTTACTGGGAGGCTTAGGACGGCAGGAAACAGTTGCTTTGAACCTATTTGTTCTCTCTCCACTAGCTTTAAACCCAGTTGGGACTGGGCTCTGTCTCAGACCGCACTGTGTTGTCTTGTTCAAAACACAGGACTTTGAGCTGGGGGTATGGCCCAAGTGGTAGAGTGATTGCCTAGTAAGCTCAAGGCCCTGAGTTCAAATGCCAGTACTCCCAAAACAAAACAAAAGACTTCTCCCACCCCAAATCAAAACAAACAAATTAAAAAAACAAACCAAAAACAGAATGAACTGGAACTTGTCAAAAATAAAGACAACAACAAAATACAGAACTTTCTTGGTCTATAAATCAGCACAGACAGCAAAGAACAAAGTACCTACCCAAATGTATCACAATGTCATAAAGACAGGACTTCGCAAAAAGCCAAGTGTCATTATTATTACTTCCATCATGCAACTTTTGTCGTTTTAAATACACTTTTGGGGGATGCTCCTTTAAAAGCAGAATCTTCTAAATAATTAGAATGCATTTCTAAAAACACTACTTAAAGACAACAATAATTTTGCACATAACTATTTTGCAGGTGTGTTGGCACTTGTCTGTGTATACTTAAGTATCATCAAGATGAATTTTTGTTCTGTGTGGCTGAGGACAAATCCTGGTTCTGAGACTTACTAGTTTTGGTATCTTGAGTGCATTACGCCTCTGTGCTTCAGTTTCCTCCTTCAAAATATGAAGACAACAACAGTTTCTGCATCACAGCAGTTTTGAAGATTGAGTTAATGATAATAAAATGACTGAAAAGTCATTTTATGCATGGGGTGTGCATATATGCACAAGTGTGTTTGATAAAGCAAAGAAGGCTGCTATATAATGACACCTTCAGGCCTGTGGAAATGAGTGGTCACCTAATCCCTGCTGAATGACCCCAGATTGCTTGTTCTGTTAGAATGTGAGTCACCACGATTGGGTTTCCTCCACCATCCAGGTGCTGATCCTCACCCCTGCTACCTGCAGAGTGTCTGTGTCCAGTGTTATCTCCAGGCTTGGCTCATTTGCTGCATAAAACCTGTCCTGGGCAGGGGAATGAGTGTTCCCAAGAACAGGCATGCACAGTAGTAGTCAACCCTCATAGATAAGCCTCCCTGTGACACTGCTCAAGCTGATGCTGACTGTCGCCTTAGCCAGACCACTCAGGAGACAATGAGTCACCCACAGGAAACCTAGAAACAACATGCAAGGTCCCTGACCTTGGGGTTTACTCTCCAGGGTGGGAAACAGGACACACAAACATATTAACACAATGCTATGAGCATCAAGTGATGCTCTCTCAATTGTCCTCAGCTCATGAGGCTCAGAGAGTAGATTTGACGAGGGATGCCTGGCTTTCTGTTGGAGAGGAAAGAAAGGCAGGGCTTGTGGAGGTTTCACAGACATTTTATTAGGAAAGGAAAATGGGACCTGGGTGTCCTACCAGGCTATGGTTTTCTGGGGATCATCATGTTTTCTGTCCCCCAGGATTATGATCAGGATTAATGGGGGAAAACACAGAGTCTGATAAGGAGCTGATAAATGTTAGCTGCTGCTCTTACTATCGCTACTGTAACTGCTGTTATCATTAACCGTGACTTTGTCCAGGTTCCCGGCAGGAGAATGAATAAGGACCTCCTTCCTTGCAGCTGTAAGGGTAGTGAGGATTGTGGTCACAGTTGTGATTTGACAGGAGTCAGAGAATTTTCCTTCCACCTCACCTTTGTGCCCTAGACAGGCCAGAACCCCACGCAGATAAGGATTTTATGCCAAAAATGTTTTTTTTTTGACAGTCCTAGGGAATGAACTCAGGAGCTCGTGTAAGCTCTCTACCACTAAAACCAGGCTCCCAGCCCTTTTGCTTTTAGTTTGTTTTTGAGATAGTCTTGTACTTTTGATCCGGCTGGCCTCAGATTTTGATCCTCCTAATTCTGCCCCGAGTAGCTGGAACTACATGCCTGTACCACCATTCCTGGCCACAAATATTTTTAAATGATCTTTAGTTTTCTTTATTTTACAACAGTCTTGTTTTTGTGTGTAGTACTGGAGATTGAATTCAGGGTCTTATGCTTTCTTCCCTCTTTATGTCTAAATACAGCCTCCAGTCTAAGCAAAGGCATAGTTAGCCAGCATGAGGTTGAGAGGGCATGAGGAAGAATGTGGAAGCAATGACAGACAGACAGACACATACACAACCTACACATGAGAACTACCGTACTTCTGGATAACAGTGTTTTCAACTTTGTAAAAGTGCTACAGGGTCATGGAGCTGAAGGGCCAATTCCCTTTAAGTTTATAGCCACCACAGAAGGGTTCCCTGAGACAAGGATGCCCACTATCCCCACTCCTATTCAACACAGTACTGGAATTCCTAGCCAGAGCAATCAGGCAAGAAGAAGGAATAAAAGGAATACAAATAGGTAAAGAAACTGTCAAAATATCCCTATTTGCAGACGACATGATCCTATACCTTAAAGACCCAAAAAACTCTACTCAGAAGCTTCTAGACATCATCGATAGCTATAGCAAGGTAGCAGGATATAAAATCAACATAGAAAAATCATTAGCATTTCTATACACTAACAATGAGCAAACGGAAAAAGAATGTATGAAAACAATTCCATTTACAATAGCCTCAAAAAAAATCAAATACCTAGGTGTAAACCTAACAAAAGATGTGAAAGACCTCTACAAGGAAAACTATACACTTCTGAAGAAAGAGATTGAGGAAGACTATAGAAAGTGGAGAGATCTCCCATGCTCATGGATTGGTAGAATCAACATAGTAAAAATGTCGATACTCCCCAAAGTAATCTACATGTTTAATGCAATTCCCATCAAAATTCCAATGACATTCATTAAAGAGATTGAAAAATCTACTGTGAAATTTATATGGAAACACAAGAGGCCACGAATAGCCAAGGCAATACTCAGTCAAAAGAACAATGCAGGAGGTATCACAATACCTGACTTCAAACTATATTACAAAGCAATAACAATAAAAACACAATGGTACTGGCACAAAAACAGACATGAAGACCAGTGGAACAGAACAGAGGATCCAGATATGAAGCCACACAACTATAAGCAACTTATCTCTGACAAAGGAGCTAAAAATATACGATGGAGAAAAGAGCAGCAGCCTCTTCAACAAAAACTACTGGGAAAACTGGTTAGCAGTCTGCAAAAAACTGAAACTAGATCCATGTATATCACCCTATACCAAGATTAACTCAAAATGGATCAAGGATCTTAATATCAGACCCCAAACTCTTAAGTTGATACAAGAAAGAGTAGGAAATACTCTGGAGTTAGTAGGTATAGGTAAGAACTTTCTCAATGAAACCCCAGCAGCACAGCAACTAAGAGATAGCATAGATAAATGGGACCTCATAAAACTAAAAAGCTTCTGTTCATCAAAAGAAATGGTCTCTAAACTGAAGAGAACACCCACAGAGTGGGAGAAAATATTTGCCAGCTACACATCAGACAAAGGACTGATAACCAGAATATAGAGGGAACTTAAAAAACTAAATTCTCCCAAAACTAATGAACCAATAAAGAAATGGGCATGTGAACTAAACAGAACTTTCTCAAAAGAAGAAATTCAAATGGCCAGAAAACACATGAAAAAATGCTCACCATCTCTAGCAATAAAGGAAATGCAAATTAAAACCACGCTAAGATTCCACCTCACCCCTGTTAGAATAGCCATCATCAGCAACACCACCACCAACAGGTGTTGGCGAGGATGCGGGGAAAAAGGAACCCTCTTACATTGTTGGTGGGAATGTAGACTAGTACAACCACTCTGGAAAAAAATTTGGAGGCTACTTAAAAAGCTGGACATCGATCTACCATTTGATCCAGCAATACCACTCTTGGGGATATACCCAAAAGACTGTTACTCCAGAGGCACCTGCACATCCATGTTTATTGTGGCACTATTCACAATAGTCAAGTTATGGAAACAGCCAAGATGCCCCAGCACTGACGAATGGATTAAGAAAATGTGGTATCTATACACAATGGAATTTTATGCAGCCATGAAGAAGAACGAAATGTTATCATTCACTGGTAAATGGATGGAATTGGAGAACATCATTCTGAGTGAGGTTAGCCTGGCCCAAAAGACCAAAAATCGTATGTTCTCCCTCATATGTGGACATTAGATCAAGGGCAAACACAACAATGGGATTGGACTATGAGCACATGATAAAAGCGAGAGCACACAAGGGAGGGGTGAGGATAGTTAAGACACCTAAAAAACTAGCTAGCACTTGTTGCCCTTAATGCAGAGAAACTAAAGCAGATACCTTAAAGCAACTGAGGCCAATAGGAAAAGGGGAACAGGTACTAGAGAAAAGGTTAGATCAAAAAGAATTAACCTAGAAG